GAGCACCTGCCTAGAATCCCCCAGTGAGGGGTTGGGGTGTGTCTGGCCCTGTATTCAATCTTCAGTTGCATTAGGGGAAAAAAATATGTCATTTAGACAGACTCCTAATTCCTGCTGGAGTAAAAGTGATCTCTAATCCTCTCACTAATATGAGTGACATGGATGAACATTGTATATGAAACAAACATTAGAAGATGGAAAATGTAGAGAGAAGGCAGCATATGGGTTCTGGACATAGGGACTCAAGAAACACCAGGTGGTGAATTCCTTCATATTCTTTCTGTTCCATCTATCCTAGAGTGGATGCTGGTGAAGCCAGACATTCAAATGCTCAGAAACACTAACTGGCATTTAGGGGTTGGGGCTGGCGGAGGAAGAGGAGTGACCTCTGGGGAGGGGGGGGCGGGTTGTTCTCTTCAGCCAAGACCAGGAAAGGCGTAGCTGGGCAGGACAGAGAATGTTTAGATGATAAAGCCTTACCACCCTACTCCCACCATAAACAAAAGGTTGAGTAGGGAGCCTGTCTCCCACCCTCTCAGGGCTGTCAGGACACATGGCAAGCCCATGCCTCCCTTCCCAAAAGGCCAAAAGGGAAACAGATTTCATTCCAGCCTCAAAGTAAATGAGGCTCCTCTTCTCCTTCCCCACTGAGGTGATGTTAGGGAAGATCTAGGGGAAATTCAGGACTTTCCCACCTGCCAAGGCCTGGGGTAGCCAGAAAGTCCACCCATACTCAGACATAATAATATACACCCCCCCCAGCCTGGTATATCAACAGAAATCAAGTGGAAAACCTTAACTTCCACCCCCACTCAGTCCTAAATGAGGAATAACTCTAGAAGACCCAGAGTCTCCTAACATATAATTTATTAGAAATCACTTACCCAAACTTCAGCATGGTTGTGTATACCTGTAACCTCAGTACTTGGGAAACAAAGGCAGAGGATTTGGGGTTCTAGAAATCTAGGTCCTCCGGGAGACAGCCAGTGCTCTGAGCCATGTCTCCAGCCCTTTGTTATTTTTAATCCACCTCATTTGTCCTTGTTTGTTACAATAGTCATAGGGACTAACACCCTCTGGCTCAGTCACTGTTCTCTCTCTCTCTCTCTCCTTCTTTCTTTTGTGGTCCAAGCTGGCTTTGAACTCACTATTGCTGAGGACTAACTCTGAATTTCTGGTCCTCCTGACTCCATCTCCCAACTGCTGGGATTACCTGGTTGTCCGCGGTGATAGGGATCAAACCCAGAGCTTTGTCATACTAGGTGGACACACTGGCAATGGAAATGGAAGTATCTTTTTTTTTTTTTTTGGTTTTTCAAAACAGGATTTCTCTGTGTGCCCCTGGTCATCCCGGAACTCACTCTGTAGACCAGGCTGGCCT